ATATGAGGTACATAGAATAGTCAAACTCATAGAGACAGAGAGTAGAATGGTGGTTGCCAGGGGCTAAGGGGAATGTGGAGTTATTTAATGATAAAGAGTTTCATAAAGATGAATAAGTTCTGAAGACTGTACAACAATGTGAACAGACTTAACACTACTAAATCATCCACTTAATAAATGGCTAAGATGGCAAATTTTGTGTAACGTGTTATAAATGGTTTAACTAATTTTTTTTTTAAAAGATGGCTCTGAATTTTGTGGAAAGAATGAACAGGAAGTATGCAAGAGTGAAGCCAGTGACGTCCCCTGGAAGATGCTGCAGAAGTGCTGGCAGAAGATGAGGGTGCCTTGACCAGACTCAACTAGAGAAGGAGAGGAGACAGAGAGGAATGGGTGGATTGGAGCAAAATTTAGGACTTTGAATCCACAGAACTTGATAAGTAATGAAATGTGGAAAAGAAAACTATACATGGTAACTGACCAATTCTGACATGAATAACTGAGTGGCTGGTGCCATTTACTGAGCCAGGGGGCATCAGAGAAGGAGTCCTCTGGGGAAGAGCATGACGTTCCATTTTGAGATGCCTGAGATCCAAGTGTAAAAGCTGGATTGGCAGTTGACAATATAGATCTAGAGCTAGTAAGAGTCTTTCTAGCTGGAAATGCTGCTCCTCGTCCTCCTCCTCCTCGTCCTCCATGCTTGAGTAATAGCTCTAGTAGGTGTGAGTGAGAAGCTCTAGGAGCTAACTGTTCAGATAAGAGGAAAGAACCTAAACTGAATGAGCCCTCATTCCTGGCATATTGACATCAAGAATAGGAAAGTCAGCATTACTGTCCCATTTTATAAATGAGGAAAAGGAGGCTCTGAGAGATTAAGCATCTTGCCCCAAAGCACACAAGTCAGTAAGGGGAAGGGCCAGAATTTGGAACTGAAATCCACCGTCAGCCACTATCCTCCTCCCACCAAAACAAAAACATAAAACAAACGAAAAAACAAGACAGGAAAGGGCTCAGGGAACTGCAGCCTGAGCTGACCCTGGGTGCCTCTTCTGGCCCCTCACCGTCAGCTGCCTCCTAGGACAAGTCCCCTTTGCCAACTGAGAGTCAGCTTCCTCGCTGGCAAATGGAGAAAACGCAACCTCCCTTTCTTAGCACGCAAGGTTGTGGCGAGGGCCAGGTGAATCACCGATACACACGACTGTCATGTGAGAAACATTGTTTGATGGGGTTACATTCTCATCCATGCGCTGGTCTCCGAATGAGGGAAGATCCCCTGCACAGCTGGCCTGAGATCATCTTAAAGGCAGAGGTCGTTATCCTCTCCTGAATCTAGGCCAGCCACCCCATTAATCAGCTCCACCTCAGACCCACCTCCTTGTGTTTACCTCTCTCTGGGAACCATCAGCCTGGTTTGCAGTCTCTGCCAGACCTGTTCTTCCCCGAGCTGGGGCCACCCGATCCCCACCTGCAGGCCCAGCCCCCTCTCTATGCTGGGCATTTGATCAGGGCCAGCCTCACAGGAAACTGAAATCTTCTCCTGTTACAACTGCCTTGCTTTTTGCAGGTTCCTGCCTCAGTGCCAGGACTGGACTCTGGGCAGAGGCAGGAGCCTGCAGCCTGATGGTGCTGCCAGCCTGGACTTCTGAGAATCACCTGCGCCTGAGAATAGCTGGCCTCTGGCCCCTGTCCACTGCCCTATTTGTAGCCTGAGGCTGACTGCCTGCTTGGACCACTTCCTTTTCTTGGAATCACAAACCTATTGGCGTCTTTGTGGGGTTCGCCAAGTTACCCATCTTCCCAGCAGTTTCAGCTAGGCTCCCACCCTTTATCCAACAACCCCATCCTTCAGTACCTTTCCCTTCATGGCCTTTTCTTCCCACACTTCATTCTCAAATGTACATATTTCCCAAGATTTCACCCGGAGGTAAATTCTCTTTTCTGGATATACGGTCCTTTGACAATCTGACCTAATAACCTGGATCAACTAGCACCCCCAAGAGGAAGAGGCCCACGGATATAAAGATTATTTTCAAATTAGATGGCCAAGGTCCAAGCCTAATTAATGGGGGAGTGAAAAGGAGGGTGGGAGTCAAGAGGGAAGCTGGGTCCCAAGAAGGCTGGCCTCTCCCCAAGGCTTTGGAGGGGAAGGCCCAGGCCCCAGTGGTCTCTGAATCCTCCCAGGCCTGGTGTCCTACCAGGCACAGATGGGTGCAGTTTTTGCTGGATGAATGAATGAATGAACGCACACGTTGGTTCTTCCCTGTCTGTGCCTTCATGTGTTTTCTGAGGCCGTCAGTCCTCCCTTCTGATATGTGGCGTATGCAAGGGCTGGAGAGAAGGTGCCTAGTCAACCAAGTCCAGAGAGGACTCATTAGTTCCTGTGAGGGCTGCCCAGGAGTAGAACTCACTTGTCCCTTCAGGAGACCGAGAGGGGACAGAATGGGCACCCAGACTTTGAAACAGACCCCCAGCTCCTGCTGTCTCCCTAAGAGAGCCTGGGCGCCACCAGTGTGCTTTCTACTCAGACACCCTCTTGCCTGGGTCTATTGGCAGGCCCTGTATTAAACAAGCCCTGACCTGATTTATCTTACTTAAATCCACCCAAGGACCTTCTGAGGCAGACACTACTATTTTCTGCACTTGACAAGAGGAGGAAATAAAGGCAGGAGGTTAAGTAACTTGAACAGCATCCCACAGCTCATAAAAGTAACAGAACTGGGATTTTTTTCTTTTTTCTGAAATGGTGCTGTTTCATCTTTAAAATATCCGCAATTTTCCCACATGCTCAGCTTGGCTGAAACGTGTTATTTTCGAATCTAGTAATGAACTACAGGATGGTAGGAGTGGAAGAGCCCCGAGGTGAATTAGTCCAGGCCAGAGCTGGGGAGAAAGCAGAAGGAAGGCTGAGCATACAGGCTGCAAATGCAAACCCTCCTCTCCCTCTTCCCTCTGCTCCTAAAATAAAGCAGAACAAAAGACTGGAAGGTCACTGGATTTAGAGAATTCAGCATCTTCCTCCTAGCTCCCTGTGATTTTATTATTCGAGATAGCAAGAAGGGCCTATTTCCTAGAGCAAGGAGAAGCTAGGATCCCTCTGCTGGTGGATGCAATCTTGAAAGTAGGTAGGGGCAGGGAGCACTCTGGGCCCTCCCTCCAGCTGTGGGCTTCTCCCTCCAGCTGTGGGCTTCTCCCTCCAGCCCTTCTCTCCAAATGCTGTGAGGCTGCAGATCCTGCAGACTTCCTGGGATTGGCTCCCTGGGAAGACAGCTCTGTCCTTCAACAAACCCTTGCCTCCCATCTGCATCCCTAATTGGCAACTTCTGGTGACTTCATTTTTCACTCTTGGCTAAAAATGGGTCTCTGATGATTTATTCTACCCTGGGTGTTGACAAGCTCAAGAAGTTGTGTAGGGCCGCTGCCAGGCACTCGCGGTAATGAAGTGTGACTCACCACTCCGAGGTCAGTGCGGGGGGAGGCGGGAGAACCAGCTGACGGTACCTGCACTCCATCGCCAGGCCTTCCGCCCTCTTCTGTGACGGCACTACGCTCCTGGGGATGAAAGGGCCACCCCAGAGCCCTGGGGCAGAGACAGGACAGGCAGCTCCTAGGCCAGTCACATCTTATTTCCCACCCCCAGTGCCAAATGCTAAACTGCCTTTCGGAGAGAGCTCTAAAAGGGAGCTATAACCCAGCCCTTATTGAATCCACCCAATCACCTGTTCACAAACATGAGCACTAGAAGAAAAAAAATGCTTGAGAAAGCCTTAGAGGTCATTTAACTCAATCCTATTGTTTTATGGAAAAGAATTTGAGGCCCAGAGAAGCTGAGCAACTTGACTAAGGTCACAAAGTAAGAGGTGGAGTTGGGACTAGAGCCTCAGTCTTCTGTCTCCCAGCCCTGTGCTCTGTCTACTGCCCACAGTATTATGAGAACTGAACTAAAGCTCGTGAACGAGTGGAGGCTGACTCCTTCTCCCCTGGACAGGAGCAAGAAGCACTCACCTTTAAGGGGAGAGACTGCGGGAATTCCGGCTGTGCCCTGTGTTCCTCTCTCACATAGGGCTCTGTTTGGCAGACAGCCTTTTCCTAGCTTGTGGGGGTCCCTGGAATCCTTGGGGCTCTCCCAGGAACGAGGTCCTCCTCAGAGAAAGGAGGAACCTGATAGTGATCCGCAGAGCAAGTTACCCTTATATAGAGCTGAGTGCTTTCATCTGGCTGCTAAATGACCCCATTTCTCGTTTTCTCTCTATTGACCTTCTGGGTAAATAGCCTGTTTCCTCATGGAGTCAGTAAGTGAAAAGGGCCACAGAGTTCCTCCAGTCTGAAGCTACTGCAGGCAGTCCAGGAACCCCGTCCGCCACACCCCAGAGGGACACTACCCTCCGCCGGAATGCTTCTCAGGATGAGCAGTCCTCCTCCATCCCTCACGGCCCCTCGGCTGCTGCATGGGTCCACGCAGGAGAGATGACCCTCCAGACCTTTCTGACATCAGCCACTCTGCAATGCCACTTTTGCCTCTTACACTGATGTAGAGCGAGAGCTTTCCCTGCTCTAGACTACAGCTGTGCCTGGTTCGTGGCTTAAAAGGACAAGCCACACCAGACATAACTGTTCTTGATCCTCCAAAGACTGAGCGTCTATTTGGTGGGCTGGGCAGAACTCTTATTCAATTTTCTTTTCCCACTCAATTTCCATGGGTTTAAGGGAAAAAAAAAAAGAGCTTGCTCACCTCCCCTAGAGAAATTGAGTACTGGATCTGCCCACTTGCTTCTTGTTAGCTATTCTGGTGAAAGGTCTTACTGGGGAGGAGGTGGAAGCCATCCAAGGTGAGATGCTAGGACACCTGTGCTCTGCAATTAGCCTCCTCCTCCTCCCCTCACCATTAAAGCAAACCCAGATATTCATGAAAAGTATTATTGTTCTCAATTCCTCATTTGCTTTCTCATTCCCTTTGGAGACCACATGTGAATTTCATCCAGTCAAAAAGAACAATTACTTACTATATGCCAGGCAGCATTCCAGGGGTATGACAGTCAAGGAAACAAAGTTCCTGACCCCATGAAGCTTATGTTCTGGAAGAGATGACAATAATAAACTAACAAACAATATAATACAATGTCAGGAACTGGCATGCACTGAGAAGGGAAACAGAGAGCAAGGTAAGGGACAAGTGGGGATGGAGTGGCTATTTTGGGTAAGGGGGAGAAAGGAAGGCCTGGGAGGTGACATTAGAGCAGAGACCGGAATGGAGGAATGGACCCCTCCTTGGGAATGTCTGGGGGACATGTTCTAAGATGAAATCCTGCAAGAAATTCCTGATCGGTGTGCGGCTTGGATCAGTTAGAACAATTCAACTGACTTTTCACAGATGGGAGTCATTTTCAAGCCAAATATTGCCAGTAGCTAAAGAAATCGACATGGCATTAACTGCACTTAGAAGTCTTTAGCTTTGATAACCTGATTTCCAGTAGGTGGGACTCTCAGTATATGAATGAAGTGATCAAAAAATCTTATCTTTGTGAAAAGCTCCCTTACATGATACCCTTTTTAATAACCACAACTACTCTGCAAGGCAGATATTATAATTCATAGCAATGTTACCGAAGTGAAGTGCCTGAGCACGCAGATAGGATCTGGTCTTCTGACTCTGGTCCTGACCCAGGACATCAGTTTGCAGAAGTGCCCTGTCTCTAATGGAGGTTTTCAGGACTTCACACCTGTATAGAGAAGAGTACAAGAACACCTGAGCTTGTGGATTTAATTCCAAATCAGCACAATATCTGATGTTGGAGATCAACATCTCTGTGGTGGTGTGGCAGTGCACCACTCAGCTGCCTTTCAGGGGGACTTGCTGAGGGGAGCAGAGTTGCCTGACAGCCCCAGGTAGTGCCCTGTGGACCCACCGTCCTGTTGGTGTCCCCCAGGCTGCTCCCAGCCAGTGGCTGAGCACAGCAGTGGGGGTAAAATGCTCCTCTACTTGACACAAGCTGAGCCTTTGTGCTCTGGGACTCTTGTTGGCCTGGCCGAAAGGCACTGATGTCAGAGGCTTTTTCTACCCAATTCGTCCTCCCCTCTCTCCTTTTACAGGTGTCAGACCTGCATTATGGTCTGAAGGTTCTCCCTGCCATCCCCTGCCACCTCCCCCTTTCTCCTTCACACACACTTCTCCTAATAAATCTCTTGCATGTTCCAGCTCATCTTGGCATCTGCTTCCTAGAGGATCCACACTGATGTAATTTCTAATCTAAATAGCTTTGTTTTACTCCTTTATAGGAGAACTACATTATTAGTTTACTATATCTTTGTCTTTCTGGACTTGAAAAACCCAAAGATAAAAAAAAATTTTTCTCAGCTATTGGTGTCAGATTTTTGGCCTCATTAATGGTCCATTTTAATTAAAATGCAAAAGGAAATCCTGGAATTTTACTTTTGTTAACAGCGGTGGTTTTGGTCTGAGTTCTGGTGACAGCCTTTTCTCTTAGCAGTTTCCAATCGGCTTCACAGATCCTTGTCTAAGGCAAACACTTGCTGCTTCATTCCCAGGCTGTGAATTCCCAGCTTAGAGCTAATCAGAGCTGTCAATGCATATTTGAAATTATGCCACTGGTTCTAGACTGTTTCTGGGAATACTGTAGGCAGATGCAGGGGTCTGAACTTGCACTGTCCAAAAGAAATGTAATGTGAGCCACACGTGTAATTGTCAATTTTCTAGTAGTCACATTGGAAAAGGAAAAAGAAACAGGTAAACTTAATGATATGCTTTGTTTAACCCAAGACATCCAAAATATTATCATATCAACATGTAATGATATGTAAACATCATTGATGAGCTATTTTGCGTTTTTTTCACACTAATTATTTAGGTGAGTCACATTTCAAGCGCTCAACCGGCACACGTGGCCAGTGGCTACTCTACTGGACAGAGGAGGTCTAGGCACTCCTAAATCTGAGAATAATACCTGGATATGGGGCAGCTGACAAGCTGTTTTTTCTTAGTGATCTTCTAAACTGGTTAAAGATCTCCACCCACCCACGCCCCATTTCGGAATTTGTCAAATCATCACCCAAGGGGATTTTTATTCAGGACTTTTTCTTTGTGTGCTAGGTAATAGAAAATATTCATTTTGAAATTAAATATTTCTGGAATTGTGTTCTTAAGAATATATGGGGTGTTAGCTCTTACAATGATTTTAAATAAACCTTTGCGGCTAGAAAATCAACTGTACAAAAAAGGTGAAGTAATTTCCTTCTCCCATATACGTCTGACTCCAGCAGCTCCAGCAGTTACCCATCACGTGACTGATATCTGCCGCCCTGCCCTCGGAGGAGCCATGTCCCACCTCCCCTGGCAGTTTGTACCCCAGCAGAGATGCATTACTATTACAGGAGAGCACTATGATACTCCACTTTTTTATACTGGAATCATGCATTTAACGCCAACTTCACCCAAGGCAAATACCGTGTAAGTATTTGTCTACACACTCACTCACTCCATTTTCAACCTTATATTATTATCTCCATTTTACAGTTTAAAGAAATTGAATTTCAGAGAGCAGTAACTTGCCCAATGCCACACTGCTAATCATTCCACTAAAAGCTGGCATTGGGAGACCGATATCCTGAACCAATTTACAATGTGGATGGCATTATAAATTGGTTCAATCTTTTCTGAGATTAACTTGGCATTGTTTAACAAGTTATAAAAATGATCCATGCCCTTTTACACAATGATCTTGGAATTTATTCTAAAGGAATAAATAAAATTCACGAGACACACACACACACACACACACACACACATAAACACATCAACTTGCACAAGATATTTATGAAAGATATCTGTGATAGCAAAAAAAAACCTGCATATACCCAAAATCTTTCACTCATTTAGCAGACATTTACCGAGTGCCTCCTGAATGTTACAGGTCTAATACCAAGTATTCAGCAGTGGAGAAAAAAACAAAAGGACAAAGATGATCCCTGCTTTCATGGAGAAGTTTCACACACAAATATCCCAGGAGTACAAAAGAAAAATGGAAAATGAGAACCATATGCATAAGTTTAAGTTGTCCAGTGCCCACATTTAAAAGGTAAAAAGAAACTAGAGAAACTACTCTCAATAACATATTTTACTTAAATCAATGCATCCAAAATATTATTTCAACATGTAATAAACATAAGAAACTAATAAGATACTTTACATTCTTTTTTCATGCTAAGTCTTCAAAATCCAGAGTGTTTTTGTATTTACAGCACATCCCAATTTGAACACTAAATTTTCATCAGGAGTACTAGATTTGTAGAGTTCATAAAATTTATCATTAAAAAAACAGTCACATAACCAAGATGTTCCAAACAAACTTAAAGGTTTCCCAATAAGTTAGCTGAATATTACAAATAATTTTCTTTTAATATTTGCATCCAATTGACCAAATTAGTTCATTTTTTTTTTTTGGAAGAAATGGTTTGACTTTGGAGCAAAAGCGTATCGGTTTCAAAACAATTTTTGTTCAGTTTAGCTAAATTTACTAAATCTTGGATCATCTCAGTCTTACTGACACAAATTCAAAAGGATATTACGTAAACTGAAAAGCGACTCTGAACTTATCAATATCGACAAAGCTTCCTTCAAGTTTTCCAGCCAATTTACATAATAACACTGTCAATTACAATTAAAATTTTGTGCAATTGATTCATATTAGAAAAAAGATATAAAATTGTTATCACTGATTTGGATTATGAAAATTTTTGATTTCAATATAAATTTTGGAGCCTGTCTAGCTAGGTCACAAATAATATGCCTTTCCTTTACTTGAAACTTCAAATTTCACATGTCCATATGCAGTGTAGTATCAGTGAGGAGACATGAATCACACTGACATTGTGTGTCTTTGATCACTGACCATTTGGCAAATATTCCTTTTGTTTCAAAAAAAAAAAAAATTGGGCTTCCCAGTACAGCAAATCTTCGTAAAACTCTTCCCCAACTCAGACAATGAGTCCTGGCAAATAACAGTAAATTCATTAAACCCATTGTCTTCTATTTCTTTCAACATTTCTGGAAACTGGGATGATTCATAGCATTTGCACATCTATACTGAAGAGTCATAACAATTCCATCCATTACTTCTCACAGCATCTCCTCCAGAAAACCCAGCCCAAATATTTTCAGCATGTGTCACACAGTGAAATGAAGCAAAAATGGAAACATTAGTCTGTTATTTCAAAATTCCAATCAACCTGGATTTTTAAACTGATATAGCTAGACCACAGTACGGCATGATAGAAACTAATTTTTTCATATTGAGCTAATGTTCTTCGATAAATAGAAAAGATTAAAAAGTATCCATGCCTTGAGTTCAACTTTTCTGGGCAAAAGTTTACATTTCTTTGTAAATGTGGAAGTCCTTTGAGAAAAAAATACCTAAACATTACTGTTCCAGTCATAGTAATAGCTGCTACATCTTCACTTGATTCCATAGCAGTAATATGCCTTCATTTTAAATTTAAATATTTGTCCATACTTATTTTTAACTAGAAAAATAATTTAATTATGTTACTATTAAAATAAATGAATTTTGAAAGTTTCATAAAGGTAATCACTAATTATAATTTCCATGGGTATCATTATAATTCATGTTGCCTGCAAAAAATTTTCAAATAAACACAATATTTGTAAGTTATATTAGACGTACAGAAAAAAAAATTCAAGCCTTCCATCAACTTGGGTGAAGTGCATGGGTGTAGACTATAGTAAGATCTTATGCAACGTAATTAAATGTCCAACCAAAACAACAAAATTGTGTTTAACAGGAGAAATATTTTATACTGCTAAAGCTTTAAGTTAAATTAGGTTAATTTATATTAACTCAGTAATTCCATGCCTCAGTCACCCTGGCCACATTTCAAATACTTGGTGGCCACATGTGACTAGTATTACAGTAAAGCCTTGTTAGACAGGGAGAGGGTCCAGATCACTGGGCTATTTCAGACCTGCCTCGTGTTTCTTTGAGGTCCTATGAGTTTGGAGGAGACAAAAGGCATTTGGAGCAGGGCTCCTGGCTGCCCCCTTCACTGCAACCAGGCTGGCTCCACTTTTATCTGTCTTACATATTAAATCTTCATACAAGGTTTGATTGGAAGAAAGGATCCCAGTGTGTGTTTTTCTTTAAGATTTGAAAGCTTTGGTCCTCTGTCTCCTTGCTTCTGAAAGTGGTGGATCTAGCCTAGGCATCTCACCCCGACCCAGAGCTGGATGAAAATGCAGGTTCTTTGGCCCAGTCCCGAGTGATTCATGTGCACATTAAAGTTTAAGAAACTGCGGGCTACGTGGTTTTTTCGGCCCCATTATGCCCTTTCCCTATGAATCATACACACACACACGCACACACACACACACGCACACATACACATACAGTGCTTTGATGAGGAATTACCCATCCTAAAACCACAGCAATATTCTGGCATTTGAGAAACAATCACAGGTCAGGGAGCACAGCCCTCGGCACTTCCTTTCGGCAGCTGTGACCCATGTGCGGCTCCTGGATTCTGAGTCGGCCCCAACACTTCCGTCCCACTTCTGCCATTGCTGTGCCTGACGGGCCCGGGAGCACTGCCACTGCAGCAGAAGCTTCACTGATGTGGTAGAGGAGTTAAATGAATCAACCTTGGAACCGAATTGAGTGGATTTAAATCCCAAATATACCACTCTCTAGTT